GAGCTCCGTACTCGTGCAGTTTTAGACGAAGTCCATCATGCGGAACAGTATCGAAAGCTTTTGTGCTGTCGAGTAAAACAATATAAATAGTCCCATTCTTTTCAATATGATGAAGGGTGACTTCTTGAAGATTAAAGACGCATTGAGGCTGCTTAAGAGCTTTTGATACGCTACTTGCTGTCCGTTTGGAAAATCTGTTCTTAAGCTGGAGAGCTTGATGTCGGTAAAATTTTTGGAAGCAAAATAAAATCAATAACACGAAAAGGGCAATATTTCTTTGTTTCCTTAATTTGTATGCATGAACATATGCATTTTCAGAGATAAAATAATTGACTGTCGTAAATGAAGTATCCAGGTAAAAAAAGCTTCTTTGACGAAAAATTCTACAAAAATATCATATCATATTATATCTAAACACATTATTTCCACTTGTTTTCCGAAGCCAAATTGCAAGTAAATATAAAATTGTGGTGTTTCACCATAGTGCTTTCTATTAATTGAACAATGCTATGTGTCAAGCAAAACTTATATATGAGTGGATATCATGAAAACGATATAACGATATATTATCCTAGGCAAAGATCGCCCTCGCCAGGTTGGCAAAACTTTTTTTTCAAGGTTCTTCAACTTTGTTATTGAATTTGTGTTCCAATTGTTTTGATTCTTGCGACACTGATGTGTTTTTATTACAGGTAACGCGTGTATGGTGTCTAAATTGAAAACTGCATCACGTGTTTACTAATCAAGAAGTTATTGAAGTCGTTAGGCTCAATCATGATTATCTTTTCATCAACGATAAAATGCAACGGTATAAGTTGCCCGATGAAAAATAAAACAATGTAAAACCTCGACCAAATTATACTTCTTGCGTAACCTATGTCGATATCATTTTGATATATTCATGTGCAATATACGTGAATAGAAAAGACGCAGGTTTGTGCGTTTCGAGACTTGAAAGTCAAAAACATTAATTTGGATAAATTTAAAAACAATAAGTAAGAGGCAATTAAATCTCCAGTGCACTACACTGAATGAGCATTAATCATATGTAATAACAAAAATATTACCACATTTGTATCTATGTCCCTAAATCTAAGGTTTACCTCCAATAAATCAAATGACTAAGTCACTTGGATTTTTTATAGAAAAACTGAACCCAGTTATACAAGGTTTTATTACGAGGTCTTGTTTAGTAAATATTTGAAGTTAGTAAAACACACAGTCAAATGAGGACACTGTGTCGAAATGCTTTAGCAATTGATTCTGTTGTGATAAGACTAAACAGATTAAAAATTATTTAATTAATATTGATATGTATATTAACAATCTGTAAGAACTATTTAACAAAAATTTACTGTTTTATCATATTGCATTCATGGAACGAAGAACATGTAATTTGATTTAATATTTAATATTATTTTCCTTATGATTTCACAAACATTAAATGTATATGTTTACTGGATACTCCTTACAACCGATTTGAAATCCGGACCTGCCAGACCTACAAAACACTTCAGTTTGTCATAGAAACATGCAACAGTATGTTGACCTATAGTGGTTTACATCTACGTCATATGGTCATTGGTGGATAGTTAATATTGACAATCACACCATAACATCTCATTTACATATTAAACAGAAAACTGGATGGTTTTCGAAAGAAAAAAACTGCGCATGCTTACGCACGGACCACTTATCAATAACAAGCAGAAACAAGAAAGATAATAAACTATGCAATATTTATTTTTTCATCCTATTTTCAATGGATACAAATTATTTTTTCACTTACTTTTTGAATTTTTTTGACAAATTTAGAATCAAACAATTTCTCTTATAAAATATCATGTATTATCGTAAAAGGGAAGGGAGGTCATTGCTAAATGCCATAACTTTTAGAAGGAAAGAAACATACGCAAACATTAACATGACATACTAATGAATATACGTTGCACAGTAACCGTATTTATATAAATCTGAAGTGTAAATGGGAGACAAAAAAGGATAAAAAGATGGAAGTGTTTGCTTCATGTTGAATGCCTCGTTGTGACTTTGAGATGAAGAATAGAAGTAAAAAGCGCGCATCCTTTTCTTTTCCGAATTTTATTATTTCATGTGCGCGTAGTGAATTTGTTCCATAAATTGATACACAGGAGTTTTATAAAGAAAGGCGAACAAATGCGATGTAATAAAAAATGAAAACAACACTTTATACAAATTTCATGCGTTCGAAGTGCTTTTCTGGATTAACCTTCATCAGGAACGCTCAAAGCTGAATATTTGAAAGCCAAAGATGTATAAGAACCGAAACAGTTGACACTGACCAAAATGAATCTTAAAATAATAGCCAAATCCTTCTAAGGTCAACTTTGCCTGAGGGAGTTGAAACCTAGTTTCTAAATAATTTCTTATTAATAATTTATAATCGGGACAATTTTAGAAATGTTTGTTATAAATTATGTCAGTACCGAAATATTGACTACTGAGCTGTTGATACCGTCGGATAGTCCACCAGCAGCGGTATCGACTATTAAAGTGCTGTAAAAAGTGAAAGCAGCACTTTATAAATGTAATGCGTCCGAAGCGGTTTTCTGGATTTAACTTGATCAGGAACGCTCAAAATCGAATATTTGAAAGCCAAGGATGTATAAAAACCGGATAAGTTGAACAGCTATATGACCAAAAAGGACCTGAAATATTTCGAGTCCACTTTTCCTAAGGATGTTGAACCTTAGCAAGTCTGACTTTTATATCCTTTCCAGCTCCATTGTCCTTACTGATTACGTACACAGCTGAGGTAAATGAAATCGAATTCTACACCCTCCTATAAATCTCTTGTTCATAAAATAACATAAGTTCCCTAGCACTAAATAATCAACTTCGACATTCTTTTGACTGACCATGGTCAATCAAATTAATTCTACACGATAGAATCGTGTAAAAAAGGCCGTACGGTAACTTATGGTTGCTAACATCAACCTTATTTGGTCTCTGTCTGGTGAATATTTGCCTAATTTGCAATCATACCACATCTTCTTATTCTTATATTATAAGCAAGATTATCAATCTGAAGTATGGTATCTGTAGTATGTAATAGAATATAATAAATGAACTCCTTAATATATATCTCTGAAGACAGCCGCCGACATCCTGTTCCTTTTTTCTGTAACAGGCACTAACTAATATAGTGTAAAATAAACTAGTAAAAGGAATGATTCACAGACTAAAGAAACTCTTTTATCTGCATAAAATACACCGATCTAACAGCAGAAATCAATTCTATTAACACTCGGTTCGAAAATAGCAATTTAGAATGTCCTTTGAAATCATTTTGACAATTAAACTGTCAATTTTGAGATGCAGTTTCACAATATTTATCCATTGAAAATGACATTTCGGTAAAATGTTCATGCTCACTAATAACTAAAATACAAATGTCCCTAAATCTAATAATCTAAATTAGAAATAAAGTTTTACGCAGAAATTAAATTGGCGGCAGCCAAGAAAGATATGATTGAATTTGTGAAGCAATACTTGTTTTGTTTGAAACTTGGAATTTTGCTTGACAGTGAGTCTATAAATTTTACTCGGTAAGTACATCATTAATTTTAGATTTATTTATCTTTTTATTCAGATATTTCGAAGGTTTCTATATAAAGATTAAACAAACATAACTGCTTATATCTTTGAAGGTAGGGGAAAGGCTGCTTCAGTATAATGTACAAATAATAAGAAATAAAAGAGAATGAAAAAAAAAACACGTGCTGATGAATTTATATACAAAATGTTTTAGGATACGTATAAACCAATATAATCGTTGCATCTTTGTATGAAAAATGCTATTTTTGTACATATGTATGCTATGAAATTATTTTTCATCACAAAGTAAAGCTTCCTAAGTGTTAAGTTTATACGAGTATCGTTATTTGCCCATGAGCTCTCCATACTCTCTACATGTAAAAGAATCTCACACTTCTACTCTTTGTAAAGGATTCGCGGGTAACGAAGTGCACTGCAAAATTATCCCATTTTTCCAGTGTTGGTGCATTTTTTCTCTTACTAATGACCCGCTTTTAGAAACCTACATCATATTTATTGTTTAATTTGTTAATTTCGTCCTGAATATATAAGAAATATTTGCCACTGGACTTTAAATAGTAAAACATTTTTAACATTCATACTGTTTTTGTTAACGATTGCATTGGACTTGCTGTGACATGAAATCGCGCACGGAACTATGGGCTCTATTTAAGGAATGACTGTACTATTTTTTCTGTCTATGAAGAAATAACATCAAAAATGTGGTGCACACTGAATAACCCGCGTAACATTTTTGAGGTTATTTCGAATAGACAGAAAAATATTACAGTCATTCCTTATGATTTAATTCCAAATTCCATTTTTTAAGGAGTAAATAATTAAAAAACGATAGACAAAATACTTTCAGCCAATCAGAAGACGTGTTACATCCAAAATTAAATTATTTTACTATAATATGTCACTGTTGACAACCTTACAACAACTGTCAAAATGAAGAACCTTAATAACAGAAACTTTTCTTTGATTGATTGTGATATTTTCTTGGATGTGAGGACATTTTTCTCTCATGTTCAACTGAATACTTCATGTCCTTTCTATGCCAACTCATATCGTAAATAATCGATATCTTATGATATTGTTGTATGTAGAAAACCATATTGTCCATATTCATGTGACTGATAAAGTTCTTATGGAACAATAATAATATTTCCCCGTTCCTTGTTTAGGATTTTTTTTTAAATTTATGGACAACTACAACTTTTGTGAAACATTTCATTATATCTCGGCGACACTTTTTAATTTCCTATTTACTTTTTTATTCCAGCTTTAAAAGGCAACTATTTTAAAACTTTTTTTATATTGGTATTACAATCATTTTTGATATTGCTCGAGTATTTTTTTCACACTAAGTATTTTGATTGACATCTACTTAACCGGTTTGTTCGACTTCCTGTATGTAAGCATCCTTCCTTCCTTATTACATGTAATACAATCAGTACAATATGTGTTTATTGTGATCAAAATATTTTGTACATACATGTAATTGCACCAATATTATATATACTCCGTGGAATATCAACAGGGAATACAGGTATGATTTGATTAATAGAATTACAATTTCAAATGTCTACTATAGCGAGTCCCACAAGTAAAGCCACTGACTGTTCGCAAACCTTAAATTCTAAATTAATAAAAAATTAAATCAAATGATTATATATCGTGTCCGTTATATCAAATGCCTATATAAATAAATTATCGTGTCCGCTTTATAGGGCATATCCGCAACTACGACATATTTTTAATTTTAATAGAAGCGTAATTGTGTAAAACCAAATGTTGAATGCAAACAAAAAATATATTATCAAAGCTTTAATACTATAATTATGAAATTTTAATCATATGAGATTTTTAAAACATGACGAAATTAAAATTTCCAAACTTATTTTTGTTAACTGATAATTTTGGAATGCCATGCTATTTAAGTTTACATTTTAATGTCCTATTCCAAACCATATTCTGTATTTAATTTGAAGTTAAGTTTCTTTTTTTCCTGGATGGGCCTGCTACCAATTATTCATTGGCTATGTACAGTTAAACTCAATTCTTTGTCATTAAACTAAAAATGAAACAAAGCATGTGACAAAACATAACAAAAACAATATCAATATACCATTCATCACGACCTACCCTTTTGTAATACCAGAGGGTGGTGATGGGGTTTACAGAATAGAGAATAATGTGCAAAAAGTGCATAATAAAGGGCCCAAAACTTGAAGAATACAGAAATATATGGGAAAATATAAAGAATAGAGAATAATGGGCAAAATTTATAAAGAATAGAGAAAAAAAACCTAAAAAATAAAGAATACTGAAATGAAGGACCCCCATCCAGACCCTCATACTAAGCTTAGTAGTTTATGTGATTTAGTCCTGAATGTGGTTTCAGTATCTCACACTAAACGTTAAGCAAGCAACAATCACATACGAATTCATATCTGCAAGATAAATCATATACTTTTATAAAAAGTCATAATAACTACAACCCAGGATTTAAAATTTCGAGAAGATTAGAATAATAAGAATATCCACTAAACCTTATTACTATTTAACTTAAAAATAAAGAAAAAAAACATTTTGCTGTAGAAAAAAAAGCATCCTTGTTTCACTGTGGATGCAAGTTTCCAAAATGTTTCATTTTTGCACTTCAAAATAAAGGAATCAGTTAATAACTAACCGAATTATTATACATAGATCTTCCATTTTCGATTTTCTTTTTCTTTGATTCTTTTTTTTTTTTTTTTTTTGCTATGTATACATCTGTGTTCTGTGTTTTCTTCTTCTTTAGCACCGGAACTTATTTGAAATATTTTCCCCTGGACGTTAAACAATCAATCGATCTCCTCTATTTAAACGTTACGTTTGTTTTTTCGGGGAAGGGGAGGTCTTGGTTTTTTTAAAAGGTGTATGAATCTCTTTTAAATAACAGCTATCTCATGTTAATAATAATTTGCAAGTGTCAGATTTTCAGCAATCAATGATACCCATGATTATGACTAAATAGCTTGCTGTACAACAGAAAGAATTCGACGACCAAATGACCGAGTCCAATATAATAAATGTTATTTCCAAGTTTAATTTAAAAAAAAGTATTTAATCAATTTAGGAATAAGTGTACCACAAAGCGACCAATAGATGTAAACAAATATCATTTAGACACAGCTGTCTAATTTTTAATGTTTACATTTGGTATTAACATTTTAAGGTGATCAATATTACTAAATCTACTTCTTATCTGGTAATTATTAGGGAAAATATGATTTGGTAAGAACTTTATATAATTTCTTACTTTTTAAGGTTAAATTTCCTTTTTAAAAGAGAGGCGAAAGATAACAATGGGACATTCAAACTCATAAGTCGAAAATAAACTGACAACGCCATGGCTAAAAAAGAAAAAAGACCAACAGACAAACAATAGTACATAAAACACAACATAGAAAACTGAAGACTGAGCAACACGAACACCACCAAAAACTGAGGGTGATCTCAGTTGCTCCGGAAGGGTAAATAGATCCTGCTCCACATGTGGCACCTGTCAATTGTTTGCATAAAAATAAGGAAATGTGGTATGATTGCAGATGAAACAACTATCCACAGAGTACATATGATTAGATGCAAGCAACTATAGGTCACCTTACGACCTTCAGCAATGAGTCAAACCCATCATATGCTGTCAGCTATCAAAGCCCCAGGCATGATAAAATTTCAAGGTGGAACAATTCAAATTAGAAAACCAACGGCCTGATATATGACAAAACAATAAACAAAAACAATTATGACAGACAGTAACCAACGACAACTACTGAATAACTTGCTCCTGACTTGGGACCGGAACATAAATAATATGACGGGTATACCATGACATTATTTTAGGGAACTCAACCCTACCCATAATCACGGAACAGTAATGTAACAGCAGAACATAAGAATAAACGATAACAATCAGTTGGAAATTGTTTGAATTGTTAGATTGGCACGAATCACAAAACAACTAAATACAAGACATGGTGTACCGATATAAGAGTTCTCACAGTACAGTAACTACAACAACAACAACAACAACAACAACAACAACAATACTTTATTTTAAGAGGGTTACACAGTTAGCTATATAACTAATCTTCCCTGAGGCCCTCATTATAAAAATAAAACAAAATGCAAACATATACATTGCATACATTAGTATAAAAAGACAAGTATGATAATAATGTGCAATACAACTTGATAAAATGTTATGAAAAAATAAACGTGATGACAAAATCAGTTTTCAATATTTTTTATAAAGCTAGGTTGATTTCAATAAATGATCTGTTATTTTGTATTTGAAAGAATTAACATTTATTTGTAATATTCCTTAACGGTATTGGCAAATTATTCCACAAGAATAGTCCAGAATACATAAAAGATTTTTTGAACAATTCTGTTTTTGGTTTAGGGAGTATGAGGTCTCCTTGAATAGCATTTCTCAAGGGGTATGGATTTCTGTCTGAAACGTAATGAAAATTGTTAGTAAGATATGATGGTGTGTCATTTTTGATGCACTTAAATGTCATCACAATTTGTGATATTTTATTCTCTGTTCAACTGTCATCCAGTTTAAGTGTTTGAATAAGGGCTCGGAAGGAGCGAAAGGATCTATTTCTAGTATTAATCTAGCAGCTCTCTTTTGTAATTTTAATATTCTATTTAAACCCTCACTGTTACAACTACTCCACACTATACAACAATAATCAATTAGTGGCAAGATATAACCATTATAGAATAATTCTCTGCAGTCTAGATTGAGAAATTTCTTAATCTTTAATAGTAGATATAGCCTAGATGAAATTTTTGAGCAGATCACATCAATTTGGTTTGTCCATGTGAGGGAACTGAAAGCTAGTTCAAAGTCAAATACAACTAATATATAAATCATGTTCTCTCAGAATATAAATCAATCAGTACACATCCAAAGGTTTTAGTGTAAAGACGTCATAAACAGACAGAGAAATGCATGTCCTTCTGCAATGGCAAACTATAAGACAGGATGTAGAACCATACGTAACTGTAGTTTCCTTTGCGCATGTTTAGCGTAAAAATACATGATCATCCTAAAACTGTTGAAACTTATAATATATATAAGTGTCCGGGTCATGATCAAAAGTGCAGTCAAATAATTATAAAGTAAAAAAAAACCCAAATCATAAGTAATAGACCTTATTTTGGACAAATGTCCAACAGTGTCAGCTGCAGAGGACTAAATATTCACTGAGAACTTTGAAAGTCAATCAATTTTATTGTTTGTTTGCTTCACTTGATTCGTACAGATTTAGATTGTCGTTGAAGTATAATAAGATTTTCAAAATAAATATACCCTCGTTTTCTAACCTTTCCGATAAATATCTTTCTCATTTTTTTTAATTCATTTACTGTCTCTGTATTCAAAATATGTCCGCAATTCATACTTGTAAATTATTTCTATCCACATTGATTTTAACAAAACAAAAGCAAGTGAGGTTGCTCCTTTTTCATATTTTACTCAAAAGTAAAAGTACATGTACGTCTATTTTTGCAATTTGAATTTATAAGGGCACGTAGTTGAAGTTAACTTGAAAGTTTATGTCCACTTTTATTTTCCTTGGGTCGGGAGATTAATAAAGAATCAATCCATCAAATGAGATGGCCAAAGAATGGATCGTTATGGAATTGACATACTAACTTTAGTTTTGCGTATTATGTAGACCCCCTTAACCTGCCTCCCGGCCACCTTCAGAAAAAAAAAAACTGAAATCAGAAGTTAGGGTTAGAGAATATTTATGATAGACATTAGAGTTAAAACAAAGAACAGTGACGCAGTGTTTGCTGGCAGACGTCATTACACATTGTGAAAGATTCCGCGAGACAATCATTCAATTATACAATTATTCTAAAATGTCATTTCGGGATATGTCTAAAGTTCCTTGTCTGAGTAAATAGAGGACAACATTAACAATACAACCCGTACGAGTTGAGGTTTTAATTTCATTTGTACCAATTTTGATGACAGTAATGATCACTACCACAGTAAATTCTTTATGTGAAGTGTCCATTGCATATGAATAAAGGGAGAATTAGGTGAACACTTCATTTAGACAGCAACCAAATGACACAAACAAAACAAAAAGACATCCCGTCCATTCGTACGTGTTTCGCATGTTTAAAACATAAACATTTTCATTTATAAAACGTTCACTGATATTTGTATTTCGTAAATTGTATGTTTGTTATAAATAAGGCCGTTAGTTTCCTCGTTTGAATTGTTACACATTTTTATGTCGAGCCTGTTATTGCTGACTATACGGTACGGGTGTTTCTCATTGTTGAATGCAGTACGGTGACTTAAAATTGTTTAAATCTACATCATTGGCTCTCTGGTGGATAGTTGTCTCACCGGAAATCGTACCACGTCTCCTTATTTTTATATTGTATTTAACTTTTGAACTCGTTACCTCGTTTACATCTCGTTTAAAAATATCATTGAAAGTATACGATTGAATGAGAACTCATAGCCAGTTTTATCTAGTTTTGTTGAATTTTATTCAGATAATAATAAGCAACTCATGAGCCTCTGGCCTTTGTTAGTCTTGTATATTTTTTTAAATTTTGGTTCATTTATATGTTTCGGAGTTTAGTGTGACGTCCATTTTCGCGGTACTAGTACACATTTTTGTTTAGTGGCCAGCTGAAGTCCGCCTCCGGGTGCGGAATTTTCTCTCTGTGTTGAAGACCCATTGGTGGCCTTGGGCTGTTTTTTTGCCAATTGGTCGTGTTGTTGTCTCTTTGACACATTCCCTGTTTCTCTTATCAATTTTATTTTTAAATGTTTTTATACCAGATGTATACTACTCCTCAGGAGTTGGGTGTTGGTATTTTTAATTGTTATGTTCTATATTTTTAGAATTACCGGAATCTTACACCCCAGTTCTATTGTTGTATTTCACAGTTTCTATTTCTGAAACTAGTGTTATTGAAATAGATCTATTGTTACGAATAACAATGGATTTTGACACAGGGTGTGACGAGCGGGGTTTCTGGAAACCCCTGCTTCTACATCCCGAAAACACAGTCCATTGTTATTCATAACAATATGAAATGTTTTTTTTTAATAGCATGAACATAAGAGATTACGAATAGTGTTCACTACAAGATGTTTCAAGACATATTAAAAAAAATATATTCAGGAAATTCCAATAGCGGAAAGAATCTTTAGCATCTATTTTGAATAAAAAAAATCATTTAAATACTTCTTAGCTTGAAGCTACAATTTTAATCCCAAGTGGCAATGTCCTAAAAAACATACATAAAAAGAACTTTTATGTAAATTATACATTAAAACATATAGTTTACATTTGGACTAAGTATTAATCATAAAAATAAATTTATTAATGTTTGGATTGTTGAAAATAATGATGGCATCCAGGGGCAGATCCAGCCATTTGACTCTTCTGCCAAATCCAACGCCTGACTCAAATGTCGTCCGTCTCATACCCGTCCATATTGACAACTGCATACAATGAGCATGATGTACTTTTCTTTTTTTTGTATTAAAAATGCACAATATGGCCAACCTTGACCTGCTGATCCATATTAGCACATGGATTTAACGGGAATATGCAAAACGGCAACTTTGACATTTGTAAAATCTACTCACTTGTCAACGTTCGAATGAAGACCTTCAAAGTAAAGTTACTAGTGGGATTTCATTTAAAAAAAAAAAATTCTTATTAATCATGGTTTGATATTGTAAAAAAAATGCTATCCCTTCTTTTTATGACAACCAATAAAAATAAATCTGTTTCACGTCAATTTAAGCTGTAATTTCAGATGATTCGTAATGATCTTTTGATAATGTTTAACAATGTGAATAATACTAACAAGTGTCGACTCAAACTAAAGACTTTAAAAGTCTTTTCCGTTAACCACATGGCATTAAGAAGTTAGAGCAACGACTAGTCGGTTCGGAGTCATAATAACGTGTCCGAGTATGTTGACATGTCTTCCCAAACTGTTACCTTGTAAACTAGCACGTTAAAAATTCCGTCTCAGCATTTTGCTCTACAACAAAACAGGGTTAATATTCATATTGCATTGCCATGTTCTTGTCCTGCATATGCATTTACTTTGCCACTGGATGTTAAACAGTTATCCATCATTGTCCAATAAAAATGTAACTGCCTTCCTCATTTAATACAGTATGACGGGGGCAAGTTGTATGTTATGATTAATGAAATAGATTAATTCACAGAGAATGAATTAAAAAATAACAAATGTACTTTTAAAGTCCATGGAAGTGTATCTAGTGCCAGTAACAGGACATTCATAGTTACGATCAATTTCGCAATGAAGGCAACTCACACATTGTAGTTCACCCTGACTGTCTAATCCTACCCCTTAAAAAGTGTGTATCAACTATTTCCAATAGCGTGTGCGCTTTTCACGCTTTGGAAAACGGTTGGCAATTGTGGATGTTCCTTACCGGTAGGTACCTGTTGTTCAGTGGTTGTTGTTTGTTGATGTGGTTCTTAAGTGTTTCTCGTTTCTCGTTTTTTATATATTTTAGACCGTTGGTTTTCCTGTTTGAATGGTTTTACACTAGTCATTTTTGGGGCCCTTTATAGTTTGCTGTTCGGTGTGAGCCAAGGCTCCGTGTTGAAGGCCGTACTTTGACCTATAATTGTTTACTTTTAACACATTGTGACTTGGATGGAGAGTTGTCTCATTGGCACTCATACCACATCTTCTTATTTCTATATATATATGATGAAAGAAATGAAAATGACTTTCACATTCGCATCGCAACTTCACGCACTTTTCATCGAATGAAAGAAAATGAAAACCTGATACTGGTTGTATTCGACTTGTTGATATTTTGAAAGTGTCATCAGTTTCTGCCAAGGTGATAGTTACGTGACATTCTCTTCAGCACTCTATTGTCTTTCTTATGTAGCAGTTGTCTTGATAATTAAATTATAACCTCGAAACTAATACAATTAACTATTTCAATTGATACAGTCGGTGATGATTTTGCGTCAATAATGTATGATAGTATAATGGTAAATTGCGTCCAATAAGTGTTTCTAAAACAAAATCACTTTTGTTTTTTCCTTGCAATGGAATGTGTTGGTATGGAATAACTAGAGGTTTGTACTTTCAAGTTATAGAGGAATTCTTCAAATTACTTAAACGTGTGAGTCTATTAAAATTTAATATTTAGATTTATTTTAAATACAGAATTAATCAAATTGTTTTTAATTCGTAACATTTACAAAAAAGATTTAAAAATTAACTTTTAGTTAATCCAAAATGATTCAAAATGTTATAGTTCATACAGTAACATGGTAATTTTTGGTTGATTTTTCAAATCTTTCATAGTGTATGTGTTCTGCATTGTATAAATGCTGTGCTTGACATATAGTTTGTACAATCTAAACTGAAAATTTGGATCGTCGCTGCATTGATGAACCACAAGGTGGACACTCAGTGAAAGAATTGTCCACGGCTGGATAAAAAAGTATTTGTCAGTTTTGTAAAGATATGATCTCGCTTTTTGAATTATTTCAAGTAATTGTTGAGTCATAGTTCTGCTACATTTTACATTTTGCTAATAAAATTGTCATAAACTATGAAGCTCGCTAATGTTCTACATGAATACAAACAATAGTAGAATGGTTTATACATGTTATAAGAAGTGTAAATTCCAAGAACTGTACAAATGAAAAAGGAAATTAATATAATATAAAACGGAAATACACAAAGAGTTAAGTTTCATACATAAAAAGGATAGCAGGAATTACATAAATAGATAGACATACAACAACAGAACACACCAATCACAAACAACCGACACCGCCTAGAAAACAACGACAAACAACAACGAACTTAAATGGGTTAGATTAAACAAGTTTTTCCCTATATCTTCATTCCTTTTTGCCTACCTACATTTTTGAAATCAAAGAAAAATCTGTATCTTAATTATTTTGGTTGATAATAGAAGGTTTGTTTTAATTGATAACATTTTGTTTTCTAGGACACCGTACATGCCAAGGCAGACTTGATGGAATCTAGACAATGCGAATCGTGCCTGCGTGAGGACGCCAAAGTTTGTGCAGAATTTTATTGTTTTGATTGCGAAGAACCGCTGTGCAGTGCCTGTTTGAAAAACCACAAGAAAAATAAGTTCTTAATGAGTCATCACACTGTCGATCTGGATTTCATAGACATTTTTCCAACTTCAACATTATCTAAAATTACTCATTGTGCTAAGCATGGCGATGGAAGAGTAGATTTGTTTTGCACCGACCATGAAGCTTTATGCTGTCGCCATTGTATGACAGAATCGCATAGATCATGCAAATCGATACTGCCGATCGATATCGCATCCCGAGAGATCAAATCATCACCTTTGTCGTCCATGCTAACACAAGATTTAACATTGTTTCTGCAAACTTTGAATACTTTAATTACAAATAGAGAAGAAACAGGAAAAACTTTCGAAAAAGATGTTGAAGAAATTAGAAGTCAGGTGAAAAGTTTCAAAGGACAAATAATTGATCACATTGATCGTCTTGAAAAATCAATTATCGATAATTTGCAAGATTTCTGCGAAGAAGAAAAGGAAAGTTTACAACACGAAAAAGATGACTTGTTAAACACGCGAAAATCATATCATAAGAGCAAAAGTGATTTAGACGTTGTTTTACAGCATGGGTCAGATTCCCAAATTTTCTTATTTGCACATAACTTAGCACATCGACTTGCAAAAGACGAAACTCTTATTCAAAACAAAGCAATGCTGTTTAAAGACATAAGTGTAGAGTTCAAACCAGAAAATGGATTACCAGACTCAATTCACTCGATAGGAACATTGAACATTTGTAAACAACCTTGTCTATTAAGATCATTCTCACAAAATAGACGACAAGCACAGGTGATAACAAGACCTGTTGAAACCAAAACTCAGTTTTTGTACAGGTCTCAAATAGACATTTCTGTTTCAGAAAATGTACAAATTACTGCTATCGCTGTAACCAATGACAACCGACTGATTTTATGCAATCGCTATAGCAACCGTTTGCTTGTTTATAGCGACAGTGGGAAATTTTTGCAAGACTGTACCGTACTATGCAAACCATGGGATATCGCCATTTTACCGGGTGGAAATCGAGGGGTGGTAACTCTTCCGTTGGAAAATTCTATACAGTTTCTTAACATATCGAACATGACCACGGACAAAGAACAAATAAGTATCCATAACAAATGTCATGGTGTCGCAGTGGTGTCGGACTTTATCGTTGTTGGGGCAAATAGAGAACTATACATTCTGGCAATGGATGGAAGCATCAGAACACGTGTTCAAGTCCCCGGTCAATTGATTTATTTTCTGCATGGAGGAGACAATAATTCAGTGTACTATACAGACTACCATTGTGTCTATCACGTTGGTCTTGACGGTGAAGAAATATTTCGATACGATAATCCGGACTTAAAAGTTCCGGAAGGTATAGCAAGAGACAACCAAGGATATTTGTGTGTTATTGGTCGTGGCTCACAGAACGTGCATCGCGTTGGTGATAATGGGCGTGCTATTGACATCGTACTCAATAGGGATGATGGTGTTGTTTTGCCTTGGGCTATCACATTTAACAATAAGGGAACAAAAGCGTTTATTTCTACACACGATGGAAAGTGTATATCAGTGTACGACATTCACACATATAGAAAACAAAAGGGAATGTAAATTTACTATATTTTATGTGTTTAGTATTCGAAACATTGCTTTTGAAGCCTTTGATTTCACGATATAAGTAATAGTATTGAAAGAAAGATTAAAGTTGTGGTCTGAAGTCAAATAATTATTTTCCAAAAGGTTTCATTTTTCATTTTAAATATAGCTGCCCTATACTGAAACAGCGCATTGGACTATAATTATTTAGCAATAATTTAATTTTGAATGTAACGCGTCTTCTGATTGGCTGAAAGTGTTTTATCTATCAGCTCATAGACACAATTTTGTCATGTGACCGCGACGTCATCAACGTTTTTATCATTATTTACTCCTTTTTAGAATTAAATTATAAGGAATGACTTTAATATTTTTTCTGTCTATTCGAAATAGCATAAAAAATGTGGTGCACACTTTTAAATAACCTGCTACGCCGGTTATTTAGTGTGCACCACATTTTTGATGTTATTTCTTCATAGAAAGAAAAATTATTACAGTCATTCCTTAAATATAAGTATGTGTGCTAATTATTATCTAAATAAACATATAGTTACTGACTTTGATTCCATTGAATGATATATGACAAGCAATAGCTTTTCTAAAAAGCTTGCCGTTTTTTAGCTTATTATGTTGAAAATTGTTTATTTTTTGCTTTGTAGTTGCATCCATTCAGAATATTGCTCTGCATATATAAATTGCAATTGGGTGAAAAAAAGTGGAATAGAGGAAAGACCAATATAGTATTTTAAGGGTTAGCATTTTCTGTTTGTGTGTGGTCATTTTTAACCCATGGAAAGAACTTAATTTCTATATCACTTGCGTTTTTGCCTGTACTAATTTCGGCAAACTTTTTATGAATCAAATTTTCAGCAGACATGTAATTTTTCTCTCTGTTTAATCAATATCTTTCATTAGTTGTCCCGATAAACCAACTCGCAAACGTTTTAGATCACAATGAATCTTTATTATATCTGAACTAATTGTCCCTTTATCCTGCTTAAGCAGGATCCGGTAGTGTATATGAGAGTACATGGTTCCTGCGGGAAATTGTTTAAGGAGAACATCGGTTTAAATAGAAATAAGAAGATGTGGTATGAGTGCCAATGAGACAACTCTCCATCCAAGTCACAATGTGCAAAAAAATTAACCATTATAGGTCAAAGTACTGCCTTCAACACGGAGCCTTGGCTCACACCGAACAGCAAGCTATAAAAGGCCCCAAAATGACTAGTGTAAAACAACTCAAACAGGAAAACAAAAGGTCTAATCTATATAAAAAACGAGAAACGAGAAACACTTAAGAACCACATCAACAAACGACAACCACTGAAACAGGTTCCTGACTTAGGTCAGGTGCAAACAAATGCAGCGGGTATAAATGTTTTAACAGGCGCCAACCTTCACCCTAACCTGAAATAGTAGTGTAACATTACAACATAGAAAGACACACAATAAAATATCAATTGAAATGGCTTATCTCAATCAAAAAGACATATTAACAAAAACAAGGAAACATACACTGAACGAATAAATTTGATCTATGACACAATGTCAAAAAGACAACTATAACCTTAGACAAAATGGCGTTAAATAAAATAACGTACACAGGTAAATTTAAATATAATAATTTTGTTGTTAGGAGTACGGAAATATTTTTTACAAAATGAATAGATTTGTTGTTCATAGTACGAGAACAGCAGTGAAAATTTATCGTCATACTAAATACAAAGTCTGTTCTGAAAAAAGTCGACAAATTGGCATGTTATGATTAAAGTAAATACATGTGTGGCTCTCTGATCGTTACTTTCTGTCTTTATATTGGTCTTTGTGTTACTTTTTTTTTTGCTTTGTATCAATCTGATGCGTCACCAACCCCTTTTCAACTCGTTTTTACAGATAGTTCTTACATAATTGAAAATAAAGGATATGGGGTATTTATCCAGGACACAAAATCAGAACATGCACAGCAAAACAAAAAAAAAACAAAGGACCAGCGTGTTTATTGATGTATATTGCGCTTTAACACCACTGTCCCAGGTTAGGGTTGGTTGGACGCCCGCAAACATGGTTAACCGGCCCGCCAAGTTCGCTGTGTGCCTCTGCCAAAATCATGAGCCTGAATTTCATTGGTTGTCTTTTGTTGCAGTTTATTATATTTGCTTTTCGTTTATAATTGTTTTGTGCATAAATCAATATAGCATTTATTATTAACTTATACTTGAGCTTATTATGCTTGAAATATTTGCCACATGACTTAAAGCAAACCACAATGAATCAATATATATAGAAATGCAGTCAACCTGATTTGACAGTCAAACCTTTGCTGAGAGAGCATGTTGACTGACATTGATTTATAAATACACGGTTTCATTCAGTCAGACGAGTCTGTGTAGTGTAATTCTAATGCCTTGTGTTGGTCTGCTGGTCACTTTAACTGAGAAAAATTTCGGCCTCTGTCCAACATATACTCTTTCTAGCTGCAGTCCATATAACTGGACAGATCAACTTTTTTGTTCAATATTTTCTTGTCCTGAAAATGTTTCAAATATTTGCCACTGAACATCAATCAATCCAGTTTTGCAACGGAGTTTTGCAGTTTTTGGGTTTCAATCTTATTATTAGGTATTAATTTGTCGTATGCATATTGCTTAAACTAAGTTTTTAATGTTAATTTTGTTTGTACATCTGTCTCAACTTTTGAAACCCCAGAGCTTCATATGCCGAAGTAATGCTCTTATATTGCTTATCAGCCTGAACAGATTTCTTGCTTCGTCATAAACAGTCTAAGAATAGCATGGCATTGTGCAATGCCGAAATAAAAAAAAACCAACAGGATTAAGAACCACAAGTGTTCATAGCTGTAAAGCAATACGTCTTAAACTAAATCTATTGGATGTAGACTGATTGGTATTTTTGTCTGTCATTATTTATTTATTAGTTTTTATAGGCTTTGAAGTGGTCTTCAGTAACTGCAAGTACTTATAGACTGGTACTTTGTATCTTTTTTTTTTTTTTTTTGTTATAAGTATTTTTGTTTTACATGCCGATCTGACAAGTATAACACTTTCAAACTCAATTTCGCTGTTTGTTCTTTTAGTGTGCTGTTACAACACTGCCCCATGCCAGTTAGGGGGAATGTTAAAGTACTAGCAAACAATATTTAACCCCGCCACATTCTTTTTGTGCCTGTCCAAAACCAGGAGCCTGTAATTCGGTGGTTGTCGTTGGTTGATGTTTTTTATATTTATATTTTGTCTAATATTTTAGCATAAATCAGGCAGGTTTTTTTCGTTTGAATTGTTTTACATTTTGTAATGTCGGGGCATTTTAAAGCTGACCATACGATGTGGTTTTGCTCATTGTTGGAGGCCGCACTGAACTATAATTGCTTACATCCACATCATTTGGACTCATTGGCAATTATACCACATCTCCTTATCTTTTTTATGTTTAACTAGCTTTCAGTAACTCCGATTACTCTTAGATTGTCAATATGTATGTTATGTCTTTTTTATTGATTTTTTCTTTTTGTGCTTCGGGCCGATCTGATGAGTAAACCCCTTTCAAACTTAATATAACTGTTTGTTCTTATGTTGTGTTGTTACAGAACTGCCCCAGTCAGTTTGGGGAGTGTTGAGAACTCACAAACAATGTTTAGCCGCGCCAAATTCTTTATGTGCCTATCGTCCAAAGTCAGGAGCATTTAATTAAGTGGTGGTCGTTATTGGTTGTCTGTTATTTTATCATACATCAGGCCTTTGGGTTTCGCGATTGAATTGTTTCCCATATTGTCATGTCGGGACTTCTATAGCTTACTACACGGTATGGGTTTTGATCATTGTTGAAGGCCGTACAGTGCCCTATAGTTACGTACATCCACGTCTTTTGGTCTCTTGTGAAAAAAACTTACCAAATCTTCTTATTTCTATAATTTGTTGGTGTGTGTAACTATGATGGTGAGGTACAAGTCGTGTTCGTGTTTCGGTCGGCCGCAAAATTACAGCTCTTGGATTTATAAAAGTTTCATGAAAATAATTCTTGTTAGGCCCCTTTTTCGTTTTGCCAGTTAACCTAATGACTTTTTTTTCTTATTCATTTGTATTTAATAGAGACTAAGAAATCGAACTTGTATTTCGTTCCGAGCGACTTACATCTTACGCGAGGCAGGTCCATTCATGTCGTCCCTATACACCTAATTCCATTTTGAATTCTCTTTCAGAAAATAGAATATAAAAACAGTGATAAAAATATAGAAAAATTAATATAATACAAAAAAAAAGATTTATCAAACTACATCGTTATATTTTCCTGTCGTTTATTACAAAAAAAGATTCGAAAAATTGCACGGATGTTTGCTGAATTGTGTTTTTCTTTCCTCCATTGTTGGTACCCATTTTATCAATGTTTTCCTTCTTAATATCCATAGTTTGAGAGTCTTTCATCTTTTCATCTATGTTTTTCTCTGCCTCTTTCTTTGGTTTGCTTTTCTTAATACCATTTTGTTTAGCCTCTATAACATCTATAGTTTGTGCCTCTTTCTTCTCATTCCCTGTCTCTTTCTTTGTTTTGCTTTAATCAAATTGTTTTCAATTCGTGACATTTACAAAAAAGATTTAAAAATTAACTTTTAGTTAATCCAAAATGATTCAAAATGTTATAGTTCGTACAGTAACATGGTAAATCTTTCATAGTGTATGTGTTCTGCATTGTATAAATGCTGTGCTTGACATACAGTTTGTACAATCTAAACTGAAAAGTTTAGATCGTCGTGGCTTTGATGAACCACAAGTTAGACCATCAGTGAAAGAAATGTCCATGACCGGATAAAAAATATATTTGTCAGTTTTGTAAAGTTATGATCTCACTTTTTGAATTATTTCAAGTAATTGGTGAGTCATAGTTTTGCTACATTTTACATTTTGCTAATAAAATTGTAATAAACTATGAAACTCGCTAATGTTCTACATGAATACACACAATGGTAGAATGGTTTATACATGTTATAAGAAGTGTAAATTCGAAGAACTGTACAAATGTAAAAGGAAGTTAATTTCATATAAAACGGAAGTACACAAAGAATTAAGTTTCATTCTTTAAAAGGATAGCAGGAATTACATAAATAGATAGACATACAACAACAGACTACACCAATAACAAACAACAGACTACACCAATTACAAACAACCGACTCCAAAGTTTCAAATCGTAGACAATATTTTTTTGAACCAAAATCAAAGAAAATCTGTATCTAAATTATTTTGGTTGATAATGAAAGGTTTTTTTTTAATTGATAACATTTTGTTTTTTAGGATACGATGAATGCCAAGGCGGACTTGATGGAAGCTAGACAACGCGAATCGTGCCTGCGGGAGGACGTCAAATTTGTGCAGAATTTTATTGTTTTGATTGTGAAGAACCGCTGTGTTGTGCCTGTTTGAAAAACCACAAGAAAAAATAAGTTCTTAATGAGTCATCTGCTGAAATGATTGTATGCTAACAACCCTAACTTGTAAAAAAAAAGTTATGTTACAGAAACAGCCACTGCCCTACACGCCA